CCTACTCCCCTGTGTGTCCTTCGCCCTACCCACGAACTAACTCTATAAAACACTAGATTGTCCATCAGGGCAGCCCAGAGTCTATCCAGAAGACATCTTTATCAAGTCCTATTTTTAAAAGATATTGGCAAAGTTTGTAGTCAAAATGAATTCCCCAGCCAGGCGTTTTGGCAGCGGAGGACCAAGTATAACAACTTCTTGGTACATTAGGTCCCGCAGAACCATGAAATCTTTCGCCATAATACTAAATTGTATTGTGTACACAGAATTAGCAACCTCGCCCGAAGTTTGGGGGCTGATTTCTATCATTGAAATGGAAAATTTTTTCATAAACATAGAATGTTATTATGTCCACTGCAAAGCAATTTCTTCCACTATGTTTGATCTGATGTAAGGTTCTTAAACTGTGAAAGTCCAGCTTTGAGAAATGCATCACATGTTCCCTCTTTCTGAGCGAAGCAAATCACAAAGTCATAATTCAGACAGCAATAATAATAGGCATGGCAACAATTTTTGACATAAAATGCTTTGAAGAAATAAACATCATATTGAAGACCTCTTCTGCCCCCAAATAATGATACAAAGTTTATTTTCCATTAAACAAATATCAGATAACCTCCTTTTCCAATCTCAAAACAGCCATGAAAGCCTCCTGAGGAACTTCAACTCTACCAATTGACTTCATCCTTTTCTTTCCTTCAGCCTGCCAAGAAACAGGAATACTTGATTATTAATCTCAACCCAAAAAAAAAAAAGCTTTGACAAGACAGGAAACCACTTACACATGAAAACAAATCTAAGGCCAGGCATATCTAGTCATTTAGAGAAGAGAACTGTGAAGCATCCTGTGCAGACTCCTATTAAGTACTATTGCACCACTCTGGAAAATATTCATCCCATACTATATCAAAATGGATTTCCTGATCAATATCCATTATCCATGTTAAAATCTTGCACATGCTTTTTCCCCAGACAACTCCAGATCAATATAACTTGATTATAAGAGGCTTTTCAGTCCCTCAAAACGATTTTATTGACCAATTAATGAGTCTCCTCTTCTTCATGGAGAATCACTTATCTCGATGAGGACAATATTCTTGTAACACAGCACATAAAAATTATTGCTCCAAGTACAACCATACTGTATCTGTAATTGACAGTGCTAGGAAAACAGCGTCTGACAATGTTGTTGCACATCTCCACTCATCTACTTCTAAAATATGTGGTGATGCACTATAATTTTGTCATGCATTAAGGTATAGATGAAATAAAGGGCCTATTCTAGTTTACAGAAATTTTTCAAATAAACTTTGCCTGCCATACCTGTTTTCTCAGCAACTTCTTCTTCCTTGTAATGTCACCACCTGCAGAAGAGACAAAAGTTCACTATCCTTGCAAACATTTAAATTGGGCACTAAAGATACTCTACAAAATGATCCATCCCTCCCTCGTTCCTGTGTAATGGCGTCTGTGTTTTTCTTACCATAGCATTTTGATAAAACATCCTTCCTAATAGCTGATAGAGATTCACTAGCAATCACCTTAGCACCAATGCATGCCTACAAATATCGTCCATTCGATAGAGTCAACAAAAACGTGGCATAAAATGACAGAAGTAATAATGACAATCAATAATGAAATTTTAAGCAAGAAACCATAACTAAAAACTCTTTGATGAGCCCTTTTGTTTGTTACATTATATATTCCTAAAAACTTGTGAAGCAGTAATTAATATGAATCTCTCTAATAATAACCACTATGAGAAGATTGTTAAAAATGAGGTTAACTTAATTATTTCATTAAGAAGTAAAATATACCAGAACTTACTTGGATAGGTACTTTAAACATATGACGAGGTATAAGTTCCTTCAGTTTTTGAGTCAAAGCCCTCCCTACAGCATAAGCCTGTAGAAGGAAGACAGCGATAAACACACTTCATCTAAAATAAAGTATTTCTTTTACCCAAATGATGTAAAGAGTAAATAGATATCGTTATGGATAGTGATCACTAAAAAGAAACTAAGCTAAAATAGTTCAACTACCATGGTTCAACAGCCTAGTAAAAGCGTTTAGAGATCTGGTAAAGCATATTGACTAGTAGGACAACAAAGAGATTAATCTCTGATGACATAGATATAGTTTTAATGAAATAGTAATAGAAACACTTGCCACATAACATAGAATTAGTCCACGAATGGTATAAGCATGTAGGGGATCTACAATAACTTCTGTTTTTTTCTTAAGAGAGGATTGGAACATGTTAACTACAAGATGGATAACAACGAATTCAACCTCCAATGAACGAAGGATCGATGTTCATCAAAAGCATGAAAAACTTGCCAAGTGTGTTAAAACAAAGACAGATAGTCCAATTTGGCAAGAATCCTGTAGAAATGGGACTTGCATGCAAATGAGTTAAATTTCACCAGTAAGAATCAACAAAAAAAGTTTGTCCAATGCCTACATTGAAATTCATCTCAAAGCAGCAATCTAGACAACTTGCATGCAGTACAAGGAGAACTATAAAACTTGCCAAGTGTGTTAAAAAAAAGACAGATAGTCCAATTTGGCAAGAATCCTGTAGAAATGGGACTTGCATGCAAATGAGTTAAATTTCACCAGTAAGAATCAACAAAACAAGTTTGTCCACTGCCTACATTGAAATTCATCTCAAAGCAGCAATCTAGACAACTTGCATGCCGTACAAGGAGAACTATAAACTTGGTTGTTGAAAACTGCAAGGATCATATGATATCTATCCGTCTATCTCCTCTCTCTCTCTCTCTCTCT